GCTCCTTTCATTTCTTTTTTAACTATTCCTATTTGATTCATTGAAAGCAGTTTTCTTTTACAAAAACAGAAATAAAAAAATATTTTAGAGAGAAAAACCAACGAATCATTGTATCAAGAAAATTGAAGCAAAACACAATTAGCAAAAGCGTGTAGCCCGGCAGGTGTATGGATGTAGGACTGAAGTCACTGTTGTGTCGGCGACCGTGAACTCTGTGCGGGGCGGAGCGCACCTTAAAACGCGTCCTGCACGCGCCCTCCTCCTCTCGCTCCTCCCTGCCGGCGTCGCTGCCGCGGTCACGGGTTCCTCGCTCACTCTCTCGCCATCCTCCGTTGCATCACGACCCTGCCGTCAACAAGCAACCCTTTCGAAATGCACGTGGCCAGCCCACACGGGGGTGAAGCCACCCCCGAGCAGCCACAAGTGGCCCACATGCCCGCCGGCTATGTTTTGGTGAGTTTCGCCTCAAGGGAGAGAAATTCGATAATATTGCTTATACAATTCTTTCTTATTCTTCTTTTTTGAAATTATTTTCAATGGAAACTGTGGAAAGTTCTAAAAATTTACATCATTTGTAGAGAATTTTGTAACTGTTAATAAATTTCTCATCAATTTTGTATATCGGAAATTTATTAAAAAGTATAAAAGATAATTTTTTTTTATAATATCTCCATTTCTTGTTTGACTTGTTGAGGGAGAATAAATGATTTGAATCGTATTTTGAGTTTAAAAGTAAAACAAACGATAAATAAAACAATTTTTTCCCTAATTAATTAAATACTGTAAAAAATAATAATTAGCTAAGTGAAAGAAATAAATAATTTGACGTATTAAATTAAAATTACGGATGTCAGTAATAAATTGTTTGATTTTAATTTAATAATTAAATAATTATTTCTTCCCTTCCCTGTCTTTTCTTAATATTCCGCTTAAGATATTAAATTGCCGTTTTGATCTCCTTCCAATCACATCCTTTTGTTCCGCAAGTTTGTGATCGCGCCCACCAGAATTGATAAATGCAAATTCGCTGGCTCACCCAATTTGATACTGGGAATAACAGAAGAATCGACGCCCACGGCTATACGCGATTGTGTATCCAAGCAAACAGGACGTGCCGTTTCTCGCTAATCAATGCCATAGGCCTTCTTTCTCTCCGTCTTTTATCTCGGCTTTCTTTGTTTTGTCTTCCCAGAAGTAACATTAAAGAAAAGTATTTAATAAAATTAACCAATTTGATCAAAATTACAAGAATTTTTCAATTTAAATTCCATTCACACGCAAAATCCTTAATATTCATACCTCTCTCTAGCAGATATTCGACCCTCGCAAAATTAAACTCGATTCCCCTGAGCCCGACCAGTAGGTCTTGTAAAATGAGCTCTCACGTGGTGAAATTTTCAACAATTTTCACCTGTGCAACCAACCGATGGACGTCATTGCGAATATCGGACGAGTTGGTCGGTCGTGATAACTCGGTAGTGATTGGAGTTGCGTAATTCACGAAGCCTGCAGGTGTTTTTCCGATACAGGGCAAAGTTTTTTTCGCAACCTCACGGTCAGTTTACCGTGTTTCAATCAGTTCTGTTACAATGAATGAGCAATATTTAATGACTCTCTGTGTTGCAATCTAAAACTGACGGGTTTGATTGAATTTCCGATTTTTCTGTTTTGCAGGAATATAAACTTTCAATATATCTGTTTTAATAATAAATATACTTTATTAAAAAAAAAAAAAAATTGACATATGACGTGTTCTGATCAAGAAAATTAAAAAAAAAAATCACTAATTTATAATTTTTATGAAAACACTTAATTTTTTTTTAAAGATTAAACAAACAAAAATAGCTACAAGTTAAAGAAATAAATAAAAATATTTTTTTAAATTTAAATTTTTTATTATATTTATTCATTAACTTATTTTGTTTTATTTTCTTGAGAAAAAAAAATTAAGAATTTTTGAATTATGGAGTATTACAAGATTCATAAAATAAAAATATATTTATTGTCATTGACTACTAGTATCTAATCATTACATATCAACTTTTTTTAGGGAGATAATTCCGTTGATCCTTTTTCCTGTGACCTGTAGTTCCTGTTTATTATTATTAAATGAAAATTTTTATTGCATAAATTTACAAAAGAAATTTTTGCAACGACGCAGAAAAGGTGCTGCCCACGCTGAAAAGTGTCTTGGCTGGAATGCAATCTTGTAACGAGGCCTTGGGTGCGGTGGGAGGAATTCATTCTGCGCCTCGCTCCGACGAGAAATATGCAAATTCCAATATGGGCTCCGGAATATAGACGGGAAAGAGCAAACTTTTTCCTCGCTAAAAAGCAGTCCAGTGGGCAGGGAATGCATCTCTTCCCTTCAGGTCTCGGCGCAGAGTGCCCGAAGTGATGCCGGCCTGTTGAATCCCAGGGGAAATATATTATTGGTTTCATCTCGGGCGGCACTCTCAGGAGTATCGAAATAACTGAGAGCAACTCGCCGAGAAAATTGATTCCGATTCAGCTTTTCAATCAAGTCTCGATGGCTGCGCACATCCTTTTGCACACACACTTTTCGGTTTGCCTCAAATTGCGTGTCTTCTTGTTTACGCTCATTTTTTTCACCTCATAAGAAAAATGATCAAAGTCAGATCCTTTACCACTTGAGACGAAATCTTCCGTGATTGGACACATTAAAGATCAAAATTTCTAAGTAAAAGTGAAATATTTTTCAAATTTTCAATGGGTTTCAACGTATTTTATTTAAGTTCAGCGTTTTGCTTTGTAAAAATTTGAGAATATTCAATTAAATAGTCATTTTTTTTAAGTCCCTGTAAAATGGGTTCTATTGGAGTTTAAAAAACAGATTTTTTTTTACCAAATTGTAATTTTTAATGTAAATAGTTTTCAGTTCAAAAATGTAAAAGGAAAGAATCAGTGAATGTTTTCACCATAGTTAAAAATCTAAATCTCATTAGCAAATTACTTTTTCAGTTTCAGTCCATCGCAATCCTTTGGATCTTTTAACCGAGCTGCCTTTAATCTTCCTCGGGTTTTATCAGATGACGTCAAGAAGATTTTCAAAGTCTAGTGTCACGTGGCTTAGGCGTGCCAAAGCAGTTTGATCAGAATAGAAAGGAGTGCCAAGCGAGACTCTGTGTCCGCATCTTTGCGCCGCGCCTCGAGATGCAAAAATAACTCTTGCTTTGTGTGCTGAAAATTGATTTTGGTTGCGGGCTCGCGACGACGGGCACTTAAAGGCCTTTGTCTGCTCATGTGTGTCGAACGCAAAGAGCTTTTTAAACTTTGTATCAAAAATAATAAAATTTGTTTTACAAAGAGAATTTTGATGAATTTATTAAAAGTTAAATACTTATTTTACTGTTCAAGAGTGATTTCTGTCTCCAAAATTTCTATATCAATCAAAATTTTATTTTTTCATGTAGAATTAGGAATCTTATAAATGTCTAAAATGAAGTTTAAATATTTTTATTTAAAATTACTACCTTTATTTGATCGAATTTTTCCCATTTTCAATCAGAAGCAGTTTAATCTTAGAGCTAATAATATATGGAAAATGATAAAATTGCATGCGGCTTTTGCATCATCCTCAGCAAAATATAAATATAATTTTGCTGCCCGTTGGGAAATTGGTGCAAGTAGCTGGAATTTTTCTCTTAACCACTCCGCTGAGAATTTACCTGCAGCTTCTCACCTCAAGTAATTAACACAAATTTATACACGAGGAGAAATGAAGCTGATGGAGCAACTCGGGGAGTGCCCCAGTTCCGTGTGAATTGCATGAAAAAGAGCTGCTCGTGCGTTGTATCGACAAAAACAGAGCTGGTGTTGCGAGGGGAAATTGCTAATTTCCTGTCACATAATTCGCCAATCAGGCGATTAATTGGACATTTTCGCGGAAACTTTTGACAAAGTCGTAAGCGAAAGTGTCTCTAGCTGGAAAAAAAACAAAACGATATCAGTTCGAGGATAATAATAGAAAATCAAGAACTTGTAAAATAATTACAGTATTTATTGCGTAATAATATTCCACAAATTTGTTTGAAGAAATTGACACTCGAGGAGATTTTGATGGAAATGAAGAGATTGGGCTTTTCCTCGTTACATAAATTGTTTTTATTAAAAAAACAAGCCAGTTTCGGTCACGGTCTGCGACCCTATTTCATGAGCAATAAAAATGAAAGAAAAAAAAAACACCGCAACATAAAAATTAAAATCTTAAAACTAACAAATAATGCAAGTTTCATGTGAAGATTTAATACGTCTAGTTGAAGTTGTACAAATATTTTAAAATGAACGACTAATGCAAAATTCAATCAACCTATTTTATGAGCAAACGCGCTGCATCTTCATTTCCATAAATTCCACAAAACTTTCAAACAATGAATATTTGTGTTATGCAACCTATCATCATTCTGTTGATGTGAAATTTGACCTTTCGAAGCAGAAAAAAAAAATAAAACGATCAGTGATTGATAACCTGAAAGAAAGAAAAAACAGACGGGCAATATTACCTTTGAGACTCTCTTTCCCTCAGACGATCAGATATCAGCGAATCAAGGCATATCAAGTTCTATTTTCTTGGAATGAAATCCAAGAAAGACATGAGAGGGAAACCTTGAAAAGAAAGACAAGTTCGGAGAGGGATTGATTTTCATTTTTTTTTTAACATTACATTTTAATATTTTGGAGTTTTTTTTTATTTAGAAATAATTAAACGCAAATTTCACTTTTTAATTTAATATTGTTTAAATTTATTAAAATAATTATAGTAAAATTCACATTGCTTTGAATTAAGAAAAAAAAGCGAAGGGTCTTGGCTGAAATTAAATAATTTTTATTAAAATTTTTTTTATCAATATTGTAAAAAAAAGTCAACTTTGGCAAAACTGTCCAAATTTTTAAAAGTTTAAACGAAAATAAAATTATACGTATATTTAAAAAAAAAATTAATTTATTGTCATTCTTAAAAACTGATTGATCTGTTTCAGACTAACGGAATGGAGAAGAAGGACGTGATTTGGACGGCGGTGCTGAGCTCGCTGGCCGCGCTGCTGACCCTGGTCGCGGCCCTGTACGCCTGCTACTGGTGGCAGCGCAGGAAGCGCAAGCGAGAGGAAGAGGAGGAAGAGGCCGAGCAGGTGGTGGTGATGCAACACCCCACCTCGTCGCTCAGCCGCCTCAACGGAATCCTCAGCTTGAAGACGCCGCTCATCAGCACCAAGGCATTGGGGTGAGTACAAACCCCATTCACTCATTTTCCATCTCCTCTCAATACGGAAATGGGAACAAATTTAACCGGGAAAAAAATATGAAAGTTTCATGAATGAAATTGTTGAAAGGTCAAAGTTCATCCACAACTTTGAATGAAATTTGTCCTACTTTTGTGCAAGAAAAATTCCTTTCGCCATTTTAATTTTCATTAAAGTAAGTTGCCGGGCTTGGAGTTGTTTTATTTTCTATTTTCTCTCATGCAAGAATAATTTTCTTCTTGCAAATTAATTACAAACTGTTGGTTGAGCCCTACTTCAATAATGAACTATACGGTTGAAAGTATGTTGAGCTTTAGCAGGTTTCCAGCACTACGTATTAATAAATTATTGCAAGCCTCGGCAGCAGCAAACCTTTTGCAGGTAAATAATCCGCGCTTAATTAACATTTCTCGTTTGACGAAGGAGTTGGTTGGAGGATAAATACGCAGATCAGAGCTTGTGACAACGACGTGCAAACAAACTGCACGTGTTTGCAGCGCCGACTTCATTTCAGCCTCGAAAGTGATAAAGTCAGTCTTTCCCGTGACAGGACCTAATAAGGAAAAGCGGGTGAAATGTCGCGTGGAAGACGAAGATGAGTTTCCACAGTCTTTGTCTTCCTGTTTAATTTTCAGCCTGACAAGTCTATAAGAACGAGGAAGGAGAAAGCTTCGATAAAACGCAGTTATTAAAGAATTTGTAAGAATAGAGCGTGCTGAGTTAATCTTGGTAAATTTTTTTCTTTAAATAGAGAAGGAGAGTTAAATAAAATATGCCCAGGAGTAATGACAAAAAGTTTAACAATTGACAGAGGTGATTTTCAAACAAATTTTTGAAGAATATTCAAATCAAGTTCCACTTTAAAAAGTTTATTTTTTCCTGCTCCATATTTTAATTATATATTGGGGTTCTTATTTATGGTATTAAAAATAATTAAGAATCTTCATTTTTATTCTATTTTGTTTAAATTATAAATTATAATATTTTAATTTATCAATTATTACTCTTCATTTAAACGCCCAGAGCTTCTAAATCCATCAGTTTATTTGAATTCCAACTGAACTTCTCTCTCATTTACACAGATTATTTCAAAGTTCCAATGAAGGCTCAGTCTTTGCACGGAACAATATTAGTTATGCAGCCGGAAAGGCTCATCTGTTGAGTGGGCGGCATACTTTCGAGGGAAACGCAATTCACCAGGCGCAGGAATAATTCACAAAGGCCTGCCGCGGCAACGAATTGCCGGATAAACGGTGAAACAGTAAATATTTGAACAAAAGCAGGTCTCTCTGATCTTTTTGCAAAACAGCAGGTGCCAGCGTGGCGAGTGCAAATAAAAATCAAGCTTGTTATTCGTGCTTGCGCTCGACCCGAGGATAATTCTGAATGCAAGGCTGAAATATTAATTTGGCGACACGCGCCCGCTTTTTGCATGTTATTAAGCGCGCAACTGACGCTCTCGGTCGGATTTTGTGTATGAAAAATTTAATAAACTCGGCTGCGGCTGTTGCTCTGTGAAATTCACCCTCATGAATATTTCAGCGTCAAGGCGAACAATGGATTAATCTGCCTAAGCTGTTTCCCATTTTGCTGATTAGTGAGAGATGTTGAGACGAATTTTTGTATTTTAACTTCCTTTCCGTTAAATTTGTAATCAAATATATTGGCTGCTTATCCATAAAAAAAATTAATATATCATTCCAAATCATTTTACATTAAAAAACAAAAATAATCAATTGAGATTTTGTTGCCTTAGAATTAGTTTTAAACAATTATCCACATTTCTACATCCAGAAAGAATTACTGCAACATTTTTCGAAATGCCATAGTTATTTAAAGTAATTTGTAATTATATTATATCGATTTTCTTTTCATTTGATTTTTAATTTTGCTTGAATTTTTAAAATTTATGAAATCTCCCTGGACCACCTATCGAAAAAAAAATCAATATTAAATAAATGCAAAAAAGTTCTTGCATAAATTTAAAGTCAGTTTGTAAAAATTGAAATTGTAAGAGATTCTTGCTGTTTTAATGGGTAATTAAACGTATAAAAAAAAATCAAAAGGAATTTAATGAGCATTCAAACTTGGCTGGATCATTTGAAGATAAAATATCATCTTTCATGTAAAAGAAGAAATAAATTAGCGCCCAACGAAACTGCTTAAAATGCAATTGCAAGATTAAAGATGGCAGTAAGTTAATTATTAACAAAAATTTATATTTAAATTAATTTTAAAATGATTTATAATTAAATTTTTATTAATTTTTTCTTTGTTTGTTTTTATTTTATATTATTTTTAAATTTTTTATTATATTCATTAATTTTTGTGTAAAATTCCGTATTTATATTTTTGTATTAATTGATAGAGTTTAAAAAAATTAGTTTTATTTTACTAAACTTATAAGCCCGTCCTCAGCCCATTAAAACAGAATTCTACTCACAACTAAATGTCTTAAGTATGGATTTAGGAGTTTGTCTCTAGTTTTGATTATGAAAATCTATAATTATTCTATGTCTAATGGAAATAAATAACTTCAATGATTTTGAATTGATTAAAAATAAAGAAATTACTGTGTCGGGTGACCTTTCCCAACAAGGAAATAATTAGTGTAGTCATTATTGATCAACGATGTGGCATTTTCCACAGCGCGGTGGCAGCACCGCTTGGAAAAGCGTATTTCGGGTTCACGACTTTCCCGGCAGAGCGAGGCGTGGCTCGCTTTTCCAGCGAACGCTTGGATTTTTGCGTTCGTTTTTCGTTTCGCATGCACGGCAGCCACGGCGGAGCCAGAGGTGGCGGAACGACAAAAAAGAAAAGAGTTAAATTTCATTACCGGCGACCGCACCAAGGTGTAGCGGCACCGTTTGACATTTATAACTGAGAGCTCCAAACCGCATGCGAGATAAGGCCCGTTGAATTTCTCGCTTTTCCCCAGAGCCGAGGAAAAAAAATATTCCGCACACGGGCGTTGGCGTGGATGAAATTCGGCTCGGTTTAAAACGCAGAACACACTTGAAAATTCTCCTGTTTCACTCAGGAAATAAAATGTGAATTTTCACGGATAATTTTTAAAATTCTACTTTATATATATCGATATCAAACAATATTAAATTAAAAGGGTGAGAAATATAATTTATTCTTCAATAAATATCGAAAAGATTAAAAAACACGAATTTTTTATTCTTGTTTTATCAATTTTTCCGGGTGACGCTTTCAAGAACAAAATATAATTTTCCCGTGGCCCGATACAAATGTTTGCTGAGCTTGGATCGAACACGACAGCAATTCAATTAAACTCATTCAAATGCGCACTGGTGTGTATAAAATATCGAATGGAATGTTTTATTCATCGGGTCACCCACACAAACGCCGCTCACCTTAACCATTTGAAGCACGAACGACACGTTTTAATTTAATCAAACTGCCGTCGGACTCTAGAATTTTTCCTGTAATAAAGCGATAACTCTGTGACAAGTTATTAAAAAAATATGTATTTTGTCTGGAAATACCAGTGCTATTTCATAGATTGATTTAATGGCTCAATTGTAATTTTTGGGCCAAATTAACATCAACCTTTTTTTTTTAATTTTCAATTGCTTCAATCAAATTGTTTACATTTAATTAGGGAAAATTAAATTTCTTATTAAAAATAAGGTCGTTTTCGGATAATTTTTGGACTAGTAGCAAGAATTTTGCTATAACTTTAATTATCATTTATTTATTTATGTTCCAATCAATACATTCAAATACACAACAACTTGCATCAAGTCAATAAATAAAAATTAATTAAAAAAGCTTTTCACAAGCAAAAACTTCAGAGATAAATAAGATCCTGTCATCCTCAAGGAGCCTTATTGTCGGTTCAATATTTTTAATAATAATCATAAATTATGTATTTTTTTTAATAATACTATTGGAATCACCGTTAGATATTTCTATAATATAAATACAAATTCAATAGAACGGTTGCACAAATTGGAAATAACACCCTTTCATCTTTTATTCAGAATCACGTGCTGCTGCATACATGCAAGCAAAAAAGCGGATTCAATAAATTTCTCTCTTGATTCGCTGCAGGTCGCGCCGCGCTCTCCTGTAAAAAGTATTTTTTTTTTACCGTTTTTAAGCCCCTCCGCGGTGATCCGACTATACTGTCTGTATGTGTGTTGCCGGTTGCAGCCGTCAAAGAGTGCACTTGCGAACTCTGGTCAGTTGTTTGCACTACTGTCCACCCATAAATAAATCTCTTGAGCCTGCAGGGATTGCCCTTTTGCTCGGCAAAAACGTTTTTGTTCGTCGTTGCACGAGTTTAGATTCTTCTCATTCAACAACAGCAGGGCGCACGATTCACGATTGAAACAGGAAAAAATACTTTATTTTGCTGATTTTGCTTTAATCGGTTTTAATATTTTATTTTAATCAATTTGCTGTTTACACAAAGCAAATTTGCTGCACAAAGGCAATAATTGTACAATTAAAAAATAGTCAAAAAAATGGAAATAAAATGAAAGTTCAACCATGAATTTACACTGGAGATTATGTGTTGTATTTCATTTTATTATTTTTTACTAAAATCAGTAATCGGTATTTCAATTAAAAAATGTTAGCATTTCCAGAGCCAGTATCCATGACAGCTAAAAGTAATTGTATTTTCATACTTTTCCTGCACACTTCACAATGGCTATAGTTTATTATATTTTATAAATTACAAGATTAGCTCAAATTTTTATGTAAAAACTTAATTTGACTTTTTTACAACAACCATTATAAAAAGCAAAATAAACACAATAATATATTATTTAATTTAAATAAATACAATAAAATTTCAAAAAATAAATATAAAGTAAAATTTAAATTTTGTTAAATAAAAACATTCATTTAATTTTTTAATCTTTTTAAATCGACCAGGTACAAACGCATATGGTTGCAATCGTTTATCCGTCACTCACGGATGATACATTCACGTTGTCCCGCAAAT